ATTATAGAAAATAAGGTTCTTAAAATCATAGGTTAAAATTTTATATAAATAGAGTGTAAAATTACATTATTTAATATTAATATTTGTATTAATTAAATTTTAATTTAATTTTTATTCATATTATATTAAAAAATTTAAATTTAATTTGTAAAACATTTTAATAATTATTGAAGAAATAAATTATATAGAATTATATAAAATTTGAATGTTAAATATCTATTATTCAAATTATATAAACTTATTTATATTATTATAAAACTTACAATTTTTTTCTTTTTTATTCCTCCAAACATGGATTTATTTATAAGACTCTCCCCATTTTTAGATATCATTTTCAATTTTTTTTTAATTTATTTTATAATGTTTTTAAAAAGGTATTTTTGAAATATGTATGAACATCACTAAAAACACTAAAAATATTTTTGACATTGTTAAAAAAGTTTTAAAATATTAATAAAACTTATTTTGAAATCTTTTAAACAATTCAAAAATATTTTTAAAACAAATATTATTAATTTCCATCCTAAATTAACAATAAACTTATTTTTATTAATAGTTTCTGTAAAATTCTAAAATTATTTATGAGATTTTATCCATTTTTTTAAACCATAAATTTTAATTTAAAATTTAAACTCTAAAAAAACACATTAAAATCGATAATAGATTTTAATTTAACCTTAATAAAACAAAGGTTTTTTTAAACGGTATTTTAACTAACTAATATGAATTTAATCTGGTTATTATTTTTAAAATTTAATTAAATGTAAATACAATAAACTATTAAACTAACACATTTGATTAATTATACTTACGATAGTTATAAATATACGGATTAAATTTAGATATTTACAAATATAAAAAGTAAAATAAAATGATATTTTTTTTACCTTGTATACCAAATTTACCCTATTTTAAATATAGTTGGTATAATATAAAATAATAAATAAAAAAAATAGGGAAATAGTGCTTTTTGTTGGAAAAATAAAAAGGTAGCGGTTTTTAATGGCTGTAAAAGGCAGGAATTTTGGATCAAATAAAAAAGGACAAAATTTGTTTCATAAAAAATTACCGCTCAGTAAACGTGAGGGGATGCTTTTAAATGGTAAGGAATCTTTTTCAATCACCACAAAAAGACAAAATTTGTTTCATAAAAAATCAAGGCAGTTTTAACAACTTTTTCTTTTCCCTTTTCCCTTTTATATCTCTATTATTTTATTTTGTTTGAGTTATTTATTAATATAAACAATTTAATTCTATCGTATCAATTTTTATTATACATTCCATAAATTCGATAATAATTAGTCGAACTACTTTCAATCACGGAACCATATTAACTTCAATTGTAACGTATAAACAAACCGACACGAATAAACAGAATTTATTAGTCAATATAATGATTAGCCGAACCACTTTTGATCCCGACAAACTAAGAAACGTATAAATCTATACGAAAATATAACGTATAAACGACCCATTTATCTCCTAATTTAGTGTAATATTAGGGGTTTGGATGAAATATTAATATAAATTTAAATTTAGGGATAATAAATAATTTATAGTCAAAGGTATATTTTAGATAGACGTGTGAAGGGCGTGGTTTCAACGTCATATTAATTGCTTAAACCATAAGGTAATTGCAACCATTCTTGATCGCCAAGGAATACTAAGCCAACTCTCATTTATAAATACCTCCGCTGCCGATTACCCTATTCCTCATCCCTTATCATGTTGAATTTCAAGGAAATGGCCGTCCCCCAATCGGCCTCCGCCGTCTTCTCCGCCTACGCCTCCTTCGCCACCACCATGATGCTTGTTCGTTCTATAACCAGCGAGCTACTCCCACCCAAGATTATCTCCTTCTTCCATTCAATTTTCTTCTACTTTTTCGGCTCTGTTTCGTTTCAGGTCAAGATTATAATCGAAGAGAATTGTGGGTTTAGCCCTAACCAGATCTTCCAAGCGGCGGAGGTTTATCTCCGAACGAAAATCAGCCCCTCCACCGACACTCTCAAGGCCCACAAAACCCCTCGCCAGAAGAAAATCACGCTGTCCATCGATAAGGGTCAAGAAATCGTCGACCACTTCGACAATATTCGGCTCCAATGGCGATTTGTTTGTTCCCATGATGAACAAAATGGTGGGGGAAACAAAGAGAAGCGCCATTTTGAGCTGGTGTTCCCCAAGAAATTTAGGGACAGAGTCGTGGAGTCCTATTTGCCTTATGTGTTGAAGAGGGCTAAGGAGATTAAAGAAGAGGATAAAGTTGTTAAGATCTTTAGCCAGGAATGTCAGTATGATGAGGACGGCGGGAGCGGGAATTGGGGGTCTATTAATCTAGACCATCCCTCCACGTTCGAGACGCTCGCCATGGACCCTGACTTGAAACAATCCATTATCGACGATTTGGATCGGTTCGTTAATCGCCGGGAGTTTTACAAAAAAGTGGGGAAGGCTTGGAAGAGAGGCTATTTGTTGTATGGTCCTCCTGGTACAGGGAAATCGAGCTTAATTGCCGCCATGGCTAACTACCTCAAGTTTGATATCTACGATTTGGACCTCTCTTACATTTACAGCAATGGTGATCTGAGAAGGGTTTTGTTATCCACCACGAATCGGTCGATTGTGGTGATTGAGGATATCGATTGTAGCGTGGAAATACAGAATCGGGAGAACGAAGAACAATATGATCAATCCAACGGGAAGGTTTGTATCTTTGTTTTTTTTCGTTTTGTAATTGGGAATTGAATGGAGAATTGAAATGGGTTTTTTGATTTGCAGTTTACTTTATCGGGGATGTTGAATTTCATTGACGGATTATGGTCGAGTTGTGGGGATGAAAGAATCATTATCTTCACGACGAATCATAAGGAACGATTGGATCCAGCTCTGCTTCGGCCAGGTCGAATGGATGTTCATATAAACATGTCGTATTGTACTCCTCATGGGTTCAGGGTGTTGGTGTCGAATTACCTCGGCGAGGAAGCGGATAAGCATCAATTGTGCAGAGAAATTGAAGAGCTAATCGGAGAAATGGAAGTGTCTCCGGCGGAGATTGCGGAGGCGCTGATGAAGAACGACGACGCCGATGTTGTTCTCCAAAGACTTGTTGAGTTTCTGAAATGTAAGAGGGAAGAACAGAGGAAGAAGGAGGAGGAGACGGCGGCGAGTGAGAAGAATGAAGGGGAGGAGGGAGAGGAAGAGGAAGAAGAAGAAGAAGAACCCACAAGAAAGAGACACAAAAGGGGTGTAAGGTTAAGAATTGGGCGTGGGCGTGGGCGTGGGCGTGGGCGTGGGCCAGGATTGATGTGAAAGGGGATTGCATTAGCCATTGACGGAAACAGAGGAAGCCCTGTTTACTGTGGAAGGGTTGGTTCGGTGGCGGAGGCCGAGTTGACTCGGTGGGGCTGAGTTGAGTGATTTGAGGAATTGCCTGTTTTTGTTTGTTTTATTATTTACAGACACAGGATTTGCAGAAGAGGAGGCGATGTTTTTTTTTTTTTTTTTCTCAGGAAGAAGATGAGTGAGTGACAGTGACAGCTAAGAATGGTTTTAAGAAGATGATCCAAAAATGCACGTTTTCGACGTGACATATTTCATTTTATGGTTCTTTTTTTGTTAAAAAAAGAAAAAGAAAAGAAAAAAACAACTTCGTGGAAGAAAATCATTGCTTAATCCTTATATTCCGATTCGCTTCATTTTCCTACACAAACTCGCTAGAATAGATATTCCTTCAATCCTCCCCAGCGGGAGGCCCGCACGACAGGCTATTAGCTCAGTGGTAGAGCGCGCCCCTGATAATTGCGTCGTTGTGCCTGGGCTGTGAGGGCTCTCAGCCACATGGATAGTTCAATGTGCTCATCAGCGCCTGACCCTGAGATGTGGATCATCCAAGGCACATTAGCATGGCGTACTTCTCCTGTTTGAACCGGGGTTTGAAACCAAACTTCTCCTCAGGAGGATAGATGGGTCGATTCAGGTGAGATCCAATGTAGATCCAACTTTCTATTCACTCGTGGGATCCGGGCGGTCCGGGGGGGACCACCTCGGCTCCTCTCTTCTCGAGAATCCATACATCCCTTATCAGTATATGGACAGCTATCTCTCGAGCACAGGTTTAGGTTCGGCCTCAATGGGAAAATAAAACGGAGCACCTAACAACGTATCTTCACAGACCAAGAACTACGAGATCGCCCCTTTCATTCTGGGGTGACGGAGGGATCGTACCATTCGAGCCTTTTTTTTTCATTCTGGGGTGAAAATTATCTTTTTAAAGTTGGAGGGTATTATATTTTTTAAATTTTTAACAATATAGTTAATAGGTGAATGAAAAAAAAAAAATTATTAACAACCTCATAAAAAGGTAAAAAAAAGTTCTAAAAATATATTTATGATTAATCTATGAATAGAAACCATTTAAAAAAAATTAAAGTGTTTATAAGTATTCTAGAAGTATTAATGAATCTTTTAAAAACTCAACAAAAATTAAGGTTATTCTTTAAATAAAGTATTTTTATAAGGTTGGTATAGAGAGTAAGGGTATATATATATATATAATATCTCGAACATTGAAGATTATTTTTAATTATTTTTGCCCCAACAAGGAATTTTGGTCATTTAAATTGCTTCACTTTGAGTGCAAAATTACTTAATATGTTTAAAATATAATTCATTTTTTTTTCTTTAGATTTTACTAGTTTAGTTTTTTTTTTTTTTTTTTTTTTTTTTTTTTTTTTTTTTTTTTTTTTTTTTTTTTGATAAACAAAATCTTTGAGAAATAATAAAAGTTAGACATTGATTTGAGGATTAATAACAAAGAAGAGCATGTTTTAGTAAATAAGTGACATTAAAACCAACAAAATTAGAAATTGATTTGAGAAATAATAAACCAACATGAGCATGTTTCAGTAACAAGTGGCTTGCTATCTTGGTGCACAAGCTTGCAGAGTGGAAGGTAGAGATATAAATTGTGGCGTTCATCGGCATCCCTCGGCCACCCTGCGGAATTCCGATGCTTAATTGGCCCTAGCCATGTTCAGTTTCAAGGATATGCCTCCGTCCGCATCTTCCCTGTTCGCGGCCTATGCCTCCTTCGCCACTTCCATGATGATGATGATCCGTTCCATAACCAACGACCTTCTTCCTCCCAAACTCGTCTCCTTCATCTCCTCCATTTTCAACTATTTTTTCACACCTAAATCCTCTCCTCACACCACCCTTGTCATCAAGAATAAGACTAACTACGCCAAAAACCAGGTCTTCGATGCTGCCGAGATCTACCTCCGTACCAAAATCAGCCCCTCAATGGACCGCCTCGAGGCCTCCAAAACTCCCAGGCAGCACAGAGTTTCCCTCTCCATGGATAAGGATCAGGAAATTGTGGATCAATTTCAAGACATTCATCTCAAATGGCGCTTTGTCGCCGAGAAAAAGAAGGAAGATCGTCAGCATATCGAGGAGAAAAGCCAGCTTGTTTTCCATAAGAAATTCGTGGATAAAGTCGTGGATTTCTATTTGCCTTACATCTTACGGAGAGCCAAGGAGATCAAAGCCACGGAGAATGTTTCCGAACTCTGTAGCCAAAATTTACCGTACAGTGATGATTCTGGTGAAGATAGATGTCGAGGGCATTGGGGATCCATCGGTCTGGGACATCCGGCGACGTTCGATACTCTGGCGATGGATCCTGATTTGAAGAAGATGATAATCGATGAATTGGATAGATTCTTGAAGCGGAAGGAATTTTATCGCAAGGTTGGAAAGGCTTGGAAGAGAGGCTACTTGTTGTACGGTCCACCTGGTACGGGGAAATCGAGCTTAGTCGCCGCCATGGCTAATTACCTCAAGTTTGATATCTACGGTTAGACGAACACTACTCTCCACAATGGTATGATATTGTCCACTTTGACTCTCATTCCCTAAACCTATCATCATTCCCTAAATTAGCCAGACGTGGGACTTTCATCATCCAACATCTACGATTTAGATCTCACAGATATCTGCAGCAATAGCGACCTGAGAAGATCGTTACTCTCCACTTCTAATCGCTCGATTTTGGTGATTGAGGATATCGATTGCAGCGTTAATTTGCAGAATCGGGCCAATAGCGATGACGAAAGTGAAAATAACGACGATTACAGAAGCAAGGTAGGGTTTCCCCCATTTTCCCCCTTCCGAATTAGTCTGAATAATCGAAATTGAAATTTGTGTGATGAATTGCAGTTGATGCTGTCTGGTATGCTTAATTTCATGGATGGATTGTGGTCGAGCTGCGGCGATGAGAGGATCATCGTCCTCACGACGAATCACAAGGACCGATTGGATGCAGCGCTGTTGCGACCTGGTCGAATGGACGTCCATATAAACTTGAGCTACTGCACCTCAAAGGCGTTCGAGACTTTAGTCACCAATTACCTCGGCGGCGGAGCTATTCATCACCCGCTGTACGAAGAAATCGAAGCGCTGGTCGAGCACGCCAATGTGACTCCGGCGGAGGTTGCGGAAGAACTGATGAAGGACGACGACATTGACATCCTGATGGAAGGTTTAGCCAAGTTTGTGAAGCGAAAGAGAGAGGAACAGAATGATGGAAATATGGCGGCGGAGGAAGAGGTCAATGAGATAGTGGAAGAACGGTGAAGAGAAGAAAAGGCGGCGGCGGAGTTAGAAGGTACGGAAGAGGACTTGGAATTGGAAATGGAGATCGTCGGTGGCCGTCGTCGAAGAAAATGGAAGTCTACCAAGGCGAAGAAAAGAACAGAGAATTTTGATGGAAGTTAGAGCATCGGAGAAAAAAAAAAATAATAATTTAAGAATAATTCCGAGAGTTTATTTTTATTTAATTTTTATATAGATTGGTATATTGTACGACAGGACCAAATAGTATGATATTTGTTTAATTAGTTTAATTTTAATTCTACTAATTGAGCAATGTTTTTTATAATTTAGTTTTTTCTCTCTCTCTCTTAAAACTCATTTTTCACACATGATGGAAACAACGTTTGCTCGTGTGGGCCTTATTTTTGTAAGCCCAAGCAAGAATCGATGCAAGCTACAAAAAATGGAACCGAATCGAGTTGGTTAGATCCTTCGATATAAAAGAAGGTAATCGATTCATCTGTAGATTTGACTCTTAATTAACTGCCCCACACGAAAATTGAATTAAGCAATTTGATGACAAATGTCATGGAATTGTAACCTCGTTGTCGGATATGATTATAAATGTAAGATGACTGTGAAAAAGAACGGAGTAGAGAGACTAAAAAACAATTTCATTGGTAACGTTTATTTTTTTATTTTTAGAGACTTAATTAAACTAAAAAATTAAAAATATGACCAAAAATAATTATAATAATATATATGAGAGAACGTCAGCAATAAATAAATATTTAACTAACCATTCAATGGAATTTAATTACAAAAGTTATCTAATAAAATTTAATTTCAAACAATGTATTTGAAAGAATTTATCTATTTATATCTATAAATAAAATTAAAATTTCAAACACCTATCTTAAACTATTTAAATTGCATCAAGAAGCCACGTGGCGGAAAGAGAAAGCGAGCGTAAGGAATAAAAATAGAGGCGCACGCAGGAGATTCATTTAGCGGGAAACAAGAAGGGAGACGTTAGGGTAGTTGGGTATAGACGGTAATGAAGTATAGTTGAGGCCTGGGGTTTCGCGGGTTTCGCTTCTCCGGAATCAGAAATCTCTGAGAATTGGAGGCGGTAACATTTCGATGGATATCCATCCATAGCTGAATGGATCGACCACCAAACACCGAATCTTTTTCTATCAACAACTTTACCATCTTTCTCTCTCTTCTAATCCTCCTTTTCTTATGCTCTGTAATCGTGTAACCTTCTTGTCTCTCCACCATTTTCTTACAACCTCTCTCGTTTTTTTCCCCTCAATATAATCGCCCCTCGCTGCCTACTTCGATTTCCTGCCCCTCACGTTTCACCTTCTTGTAATTTCTCTGTTCTTTTCTTTTTCTCCGATTTCTTTTTCTCTTGCTAGCGTTTGATCTTGGTAGGTTTGCCCACCTGAGGGAGCTCGTTTTCCTATTACGTGAATGTGTTTTGATATGCATTTTAGTTTATTGTGGTTAATGTCTGGCATTTGCGTATAGAATTTTGGCCGATTAGGTTGAAGATTGGAAATTTTTGAGTGGGATTTTCTTTTTATTGACTTATTTTTTGGGGTTTTGAAGATATTTGTATTTATTGGGGATTTTCTTTTAATGATCGTCTTTTTCCAGGCCGGGCATTAGGAGAAGAATCGAAATATGAGTGCTTGATTCATCTCTTTAATGCGTAACCTGTTTCAATTAACAAACCCAAAAACACGCCATCATGTCCGGACCGATATTTTCCAAACCAGGTATGCTTGTAATCCATTCTGTTGCATTCGTTCTTCCATTATTGAATCTTTCCCTTTTTCTGATATTCTCTCCTCGTTTGTTTTTCATTATTGTTTGTTCGATTACGAATCCTTCCCTTGTTTCGTTTATGGATCTTTCGGTTTTGCAAGAATGTTCAAATGTGTTCAAGTAATCGAATGAAAATGGTTAAATTGAATGACAGTCACATAGACTAAATAGTGTAAGATGTTTGCGGCAAGAGATTGTTGGAGCTGAACACAAATTCAAAACATGGATAACTAATATAATCAATCGTTCCTTTATTTACCTAAAGTTTGACAAGTTATTTTAAATTTGTACTTGTTGAAGGGTCTGATCTTGAGAGCTCTGAGGATGAGAGGAATACATCCATTGGATCCTTCAAGCAGAAGGCAGCCCTTGCCTCCTCCAAGTTCAGGCATTCTATGACACGAAGGGGTAGGAGAAGTAGTAGAGTCACATCTATGAGAATTGAAGATGTGCATGACACAGAGGAGCTGCGGGCTGTCGATTCCTTTCGCCAAGCATTGATTTTGGAGGAGTTACTATCTTGCAAGCATGATGACTATCACATGATGCTCAGGTTTTCTTTTCTCTTATCCTTCTATAACTCCATGTTTTATCACCGGTCCATGTTGAGGATTGTTGGGGGGAGTCCATATTGGCTAATTTAGAGGTTGATTATGAATTTATAAGTAAGGAATACATCTCCCTTGGGAAGCCCTAAGCAAAGCCACGAGAGTTTATGCTCAAAGTGAACAATATCATACCATTTTGAATAGCTGTGGTTCCTAACATCGTATTATAGCCCACAATCTATGATCCTAATATACTTCTTGTAACAGAGGGCAGCCCTTAACTCCCCTTTCTTCATTCTCTTACAACTATATACTCTCTTGATTGAGATCTGTCCCAATTTTCAAGATTAATCTTCCACAGAATAGGGCAACCACCACTATTGAACAAGTATATGATTTTTTTTAAAGAAATTTCTTTTCAGTTTTTATGTTACAGTCTCACAACATTTCATTGGACATAGATTCTTGAAGGCCAGGAAGTTTGATATTGAGAAAACAAAGCAAATGTGGACTGACATGCTCCAATGGCGTAAAGAATTTGGTGCTGACACCATAATGGAGGTATTAGATGTAGAAATATTTGCTTAGGTTCTACAAATTCTCTGCATCTTTCCCCTGTAAACCAAGTCCCAAATTTTGAACTCCCCAATTGAACTAACTGACATTTCTTCTTTTTCCCCCACTCTTAAGAATTTTGTATTCGAGGAGCTTGATCAAGTCTTAGATTATTATCCTCAAGGGAATCATGGTGTAGATAAGGAAGGAAGGCCAGTATATATTGAGAAATTGGGCATGGTGGATCCCACCAAGTTGATGCAAGTCACTGATATTGAACGCTATCTGAAATACCATGTACGAGAGTTTGAGAGGACATTCGCGGTAAAGTTTCCTGCCTGTTCAATAGCTTCCAAGAGGCACATTGATCAAAGTACAACAATCTTGGACGTTCAGGGAGTGGTAAGTATGTCAATAGTAATATTTATTACTGGGGAATAATTAGTTGCAGACAAATGTTTTATGCAAGAATCATAGAGATTTATCTTCGCGGTATATTGATATTGATGTGCACTGACTTGGAGAACTAGCTGATTTAAAAAAGTTTGAGTCCTTTGTGTTTCAAATTCTTTCTTCCTTTCCCTTTTCCAATTTCTCGGTGCAGCTTTCAAACTATAACTGATTTGACAGGGACTTAAAAGCTTCAACAAGACTGCTCGGGAACTCATCTCCCGCCTTCAGAAAATTGATAGCGAGAACTATCCGGAGGTACTGTGGAATATTTGGTTTTCAGTTCTATGGAATGTTCATTTTACTCTAAACTGCGTCCTATACTGAACCCAAAAAGTGATCAAATGTGAATGCAGACCTTAAATCGTATGTTCATCATTAATGCTGGTTCCGGATTTAGAATGCTGTGGAACACAGTAAAATCTTTTCTAGATCCTAAAACCACTGCAAAGATCCATGTAAATATGCTTCTCTGATCTCATCTTTGCCATAGTAAATTGTAGCAGATGTAATTAATTAGTAAACTTGCCAGGTTCTTGGAAATAAATACCAAAGCAAATTGCTGGAAATTATTGATTCCAGGTATGTTACTGAAGAGACAGTAAACTTTCACGTATCATATAAACTTCATGTATCGTATAAATTTGGAAATGTTCATGCAAAGTTTTGCCCTCCTTTTGTGGTGTCATGTTGCACCAGTGAATTGCCAGAGTTTCTTGGAGGCACCTGTACCTGTGCTGATCAAGGAGGGTGCATGCGTTCTGATAAAGGTCCATGGAAGGACCCAAATATATTGAAGGTCCCAATTTTTATCTCCAATTGTGATAGTTTCCATCTTTGGTTACAAGTTCAGCTGACTTTTACAATTACTTGGCTGTTTTAAATAATTGATGAACTCGCAGATGGTCAGCAATGGAACCCATAAATGTTCAGTGATATCTAGGGACAACGAGGTTTTTTTTTCTTTTCTTGAGCTTAGCCTTCATCCTTCTGGTTTCTTGTTTTGAGTTTCCATTTTTTATTCTATTCATATGATCTCTTTTAATATTATGAGCTAGCATTTTGGTTCTTTCCGATTGATAAATTTTTTTGCATTTGTTATGTTTAATCGACTGGTGCAACAGGAAGCACTTCCTGATTTTAAGGATGTTTGCTCCATCTCCTCCAAACATCCTTTTAATCACGTTCAGCGTCCACTCCTGTCTCCTCTCCATGAGGTAAGTGAGCAAGAATTCAAGATTTGTTAGTTGAAATTTAATTTGCTTCACATCGATGAGTTCAATATTAATGGTTCTCAGTCTAAGCAGTAAGAAACCAATATCTTTTAGAATTACAAGCAACCATTAACTGTAATAGCCTAAGCCCACCGCTAGCAAATATTGTCCACTTCGATCCTTTACATATCGCCGTCAGCCTCACGGTTTTAGAACGCGCTACTAGGGAGAGGTTTCTACACCCTAATAAGAAATGCTTCGTTCCCCTCTCCGACCGATGTGGGATCTCACAATCCACCCCCTCTTGGGGACCCAACGTCCTCGCTAGCACACCGTTTGGTGTCTAGCTCTGATACCATTTGTAACAGCCCAAGCTCACCGCTAACGACCGCTTCGACTCATTATGTATCACCGTCAGCCTCACGGTTTTAGAACGCGTCTACTAAGGACATGTTTCTACACTTTATAAGGAATGTTTCGTTCTCCTCTCCAATCGACGTGACATCTCACATTAACTCTATAAAACCTCGATTTAGCATCTGTTCCTATGCGTTGAGTTGATTCTTGCATGTCACTGAAGATTTTAAACTGGAGTAGTAATTTCCAGTTGCAGCCTGTGCCTGTACTAGTAGAATTTGTTCTCTAGAGACGGCTTGTTTTGGGATTCTTAGCTAGCATAAATTTGCAGAACTGTTGGTCTGTGTATACATATATGCAAACTGTTTTCTATATTTCGGGAAGTGTTGGATCAATTTCTTACCTCTAATGAAATATCGCTAACTATATTTCTGAAGTCTAGCTGATACAAAAAAAAAACATGATAGGTTTCAATTACCAAGAATATTCGTGTGGCATACAATGAGGATTGTGTCCCCGTGGTTGATAAAACAGTGGATTTTGCATGGAAAAATGTGTCAAAAAAGAGCATGCCAGCCTCATCCAACGGTATATTATCTTTTTCTGATAGCTCTTTTTTAATTTATTCTTTTTAGTTATGCAATTTCATCTTTATACTGTAGAACGATTAAAACTTCTTTTTCTCCCAAAAGGGATGGAAATATTGGCAATATTTTGTTATTTCGTATCTCTATTTCTACCAAGTTAATTTGGTCGTTTTTTTCTTGGTATGTGCGTGTGCGCGCTGGCAGCAATGGATTTTGATATGGCTAGTTCAGGCGAGGTCCCTGGGGGTCTTAAATCAAAGATTTTGGCTAGTGTTTTGGCCTTCATCGTGGGAATTTCTGCTACGGTGAGGTTGGCTCGCACCATGCCTAACAAGCTGACCAATGCCTCCATATACTCCAAACCATTTTACTATGTCGACGACTCTAACATGCTCAAGGGTCAGCCACCTTTATTTGAACCCTTGCCTGATTACATGTCAACCGTAAAACGCATGGCTAAATTGGAAGAGAGAGTCAATAACTTGTGCTCTAAACCTGCTGACCTGCCTCGCGAGAAAGAGGAACTACTCAATGCTGTAACAAGCCGTGTTGAAGCCCTTGAACAGGATCTTCTCGCAACCAAAAAGGTACCTCTATTGCTCAGCGATCACTGGTCTTTTATAAGCCGTTTGAGTAGTTCTGATCAGTAGTTTTTGCATATAGGTTCTGGAGGAAACACTAGCTAGACAAGAAGAGATTTTTGCTTATATTGAGAAGAGGAAGAAAAAGAAGAAACTGGTAATAATCTACTTTGACAAACCATATCATAAGCCAAGATGGTAATGTTTTTATGCATGGGCACTAGAATTTTAGTGAACTGACTTGCTTGAATTTGACTGGGATTGACTGTATGTATTGCAGTTATCGTTCCCCTGGTGATGGGATGAAAATGATCAGCCACGAGGCGTGGGGCGATCGCCTTGAACATCCATCTCTGCACTATGTGTTAGAATCAGAGATCTGGTGAAGTCATTTTAATTTATGTACACATTATTTACTTATAACGTAAAATTAAGTCCTAGGTAACAAGAAGAAATCCCATTATCCTTAAATGTGATGGGTGATGTAAATTAATAAAGTTTCTGCAAGAAATGAAATTGAACACGTACGTTGTACAAATCAAAATGATTTGAAAATTGGAAAATACAACCAAAAGCTTATTTGTGGATCTCACTCCACCAAACAACATTATTGACCTTCTTCTTTTTGAACTGAACTGGAACACAGCTATACAAGAAGCACAACCAAGAAGAAACCATTAAGAATACGTCTGCTTGTGATCTGAATTAGCTTTGTTTTTTGGCTGAGCTCTCTATTTTTTATAAAAATATTTTTGCGAATCTGTTGCAGTGTAGGCTCTCTCTTAATCATAGCCATGAATGAATGAGGCCCAAGAAAGAGGCATAAGGCATAGCCCTCTGCTCCTAAGATCTGGCCTTGGTTTTGTTCCATCTTCCTGTGTTGAACCCTGCAATTTTTTGATAAATCTATGGCTTAGTGCTTCTTTCCATAGATCCTATTTACTATTCTTTTACATATAAATATATATTGTTTTTTCCTAAGAGCAATAATATCATGTAACGTGCTTTACCCAGAAACCACCAAATGAAAAGAATATTACTTTTCAGATAATTCTGAGCCAAATTATCAAATAAAAAAAATATCTAAATGTAAGTGCCACGTCAGCAACAAACCGGTCAAATAATTTTTTTTATTATTAAACTCCTAATCCCAACCATAAAAGTTGATGGGTAATGTCAAAACCCAGGTCTCTTGATAGTAGGAGTAGGATTGGAATGACTGTGTTTTTTAAAACGCGTCTGTTAAGGAGATGTTTAGAGGTTTTCATCCTTATAGACAATGTTTTGTTCTCGTTTCTCAATTGATGTGGGATCTCACAATCCACCTCCAATCGGGGCTAGATTAGTTTCCACTCTTATAAAGAATGTTTTGTTATCTTCTCCAATCGATGTAGGATCTCACAATCGCTACTTGTTCCATTCTCTAATCGATGTGGAATTGGACCCCCAATCCACCTCTCTTTGGCCTCCTCGTGGCACATCGTCCGGTGTGGCTCTGATACCATTTGTAATAGTTCAAGCCCACCGCTAACAAATATTGTCTTCTTTAGGCTTTTCCTTTCGGGTTTCCCCTCAAGATTTTAAAATGCGTCTGTCTATTAGGGAGAGGTTTCTACCCCCTAATATGCTTCGTTCTCTTCTCCAACCGATGTAGGAGCTCACATGATCAACCCTTAATTAATCGATGTGGGACCCCTCTTCCAACAATCCTCACACGAAAATATATAAATACAATATGCGTATATCAACTTACAGGCTGCAGTTTCTGGTAGGGTTTGCTCTGAGATGACCCTAAATATGGCATGCTTAAAGTCTGCAATGAAAGCCCATATTAAAATTACATCAGAAAATGTAAATATTATTGTTCATCATATGAGTCAATAGAGAATAAACTCACCTCAACTTGGTCATGAAGAAACTGAATGTAGCCAATTGCTTCGGTTAGAACAGAGGAAGTATCAGTCTGAAAAAGATTGTTAAATTTATGGTAAGAAACTCAAACCAAGAACCAAGTATGGGCAAGTGGGGTTAGTTTTTTAAGCACATCAAAGAGACCTAAGTGGGTTCTGAATCTGATAAAGGAAAGTGTTTATATATATATATATGCATATACCTTACCAAAAGGTGCAACCAGCCTTTGAAGTGCTGAAATCCTGTCGCCCAGTTTCTCTTTTCTCACCTGCAGTTCATATTTCAAAATTTAATTACCCACACAAAGAGTTGGGTCAGTTCTTGAATTGGGTTGGAACCAATACCTTCAATGGTGGGCAGGATCTCTTTGATTCATGAGCATTGGACTTTTTAGCCAATGACGAGCTGTTAAGTGGTCTCTTTACTTTGTTGGAGCTGTTATTATTGATTGAATCTTGCACATACCCAAATAAGGCTCTCTTTTTGTTAAACCCACTTGAGATCAACCCCAGATGCGGATCAGCAGCTTGTAATGATGAAGAAGACAACAAATCCAACGTTGAAGTAGTAGAAGTGCTGTTCCTTGAACTACTCGAAAAAACATTGCTGTAATAATTGGTATTAGATCCAGTTGATAGCCCTTGGAAACCTCCATAGCTTGTAGGAGATTGAACACAAGAATAGAGATTTGAAAGCTGCTGTTCATTGGGTTGTTCTTGTTGGTAATTTGATGAGAAATTGAACCATAGATTTTCATGCTCTCTTGAACATGGTAAGGTTTGATCCATTAAATAAGGGTTGTTGTTGTTGTAGGAATTTCCATCCCTGCATGATCATGTTGAGAAAGTTGAAATGTGTGTGAAAAAAGGAGAGAAATGAATGCATGAATAATGAATGAAGAATTGTTGGAGCTTACAAGATGGTGTTGGGGATGCATTCATGAGTAAGAAGAGGTGGTCTTGGAGCTGATACCAAGGATGAGTATCCACCGAATAGTTCTTGGAGATTTTCTGACTCCATGGATATAGGCTGAAAGGATTTGGATGAAATATAGTGGATGATTTGAGGAGATGATGAGAGGATTGTGTTCTTGTGTTCTTGAAAAACATATCAAAACCTAAATGGGTTCTAATGGGATGACTTTGGGTGGTGGGTGGTGGTTTGTTTATTAATAACTTGCCTTTTCTCTCTCTCTCTCGAAGTCATCGAAGTCATCCATATAAGACCTTTAACCAATATTCTTTCTTACATTTTCTCTTGTTCTTTATGTTCATCTAAATCAATTGTGTGTTGTTGTAAGATCCTAACAATATCCTCCATAACGATTTTGAATGAAATTATTCTTAAAATCGTGTGTCATATGAAACGTAGATCATCGTCATTTTTAATCGAAATTTGGGTTAAGCTCGATCTCGAAGCCTTATAGAGTTAGGAGTAAAGTATACCGACGTTGACACATCGAGGTGGTGATCGAAAGCAGCTTTCTCCTAAAAAACCTTACCTACCCTCTATCTTGGCTGGTTTCCATATCATGTCAGAAAGCAATATAGGGTTTCATTCCTTAATCAAAATTGGATTTTGATTACTGGGTCCTTCAGATTACAAGCAATACTTTTCTTTTAAATCTACTTTTGGCTTTTCTTGTCACAGTCAAAACTGTGAATTAAACAAAATTAGCTCTTTAGCTGATGAACATAATCACTGGATTAGGTGTTGCTCTTATCAACTGAGAACAGCTTTTGAAGGGTTTTTTGTTTTAGGGTTTTTTGAACGATACGTTATCAAAAGGTTGTCTATGTCACAACCATAAGCACTTTCAAATCTACTCTTTTTTATCTCGTAAAATATGTCTTACTATTCACAACTATGCAGCTCGTTTATTCATCTTGATATTAAGAGAGAGCCACGTTTATGAAACGTTTTACCTCTTGAATCAAATGATACCTATTTTATATCTGTTACAACCCGTATAAACATGGAGTGAGTGGGATACAGATTATAACACATTCTGACTCCCAACTCATCAGAAAGTAAAGTGCAAGAAAGAGATGAAGAATGAATGATGGGTGATTTTTGTCATAGACCCCGCTTCCTTATGTCTCCTCTGTTGCTGTTCCCTCGTTATACCATAGTATATGAAAAACGCTATCGATATTGTCATTCACAGAAGTCGTATTTTTAGTGTGGGTTTAAAATATTAGGAAAGTCAACTGAAATATTAAAATGGGGGAAAGAGAGGGAAATGGGGTCAGATCCCACTATTTCTCGCTTTAAAGTTAAATTATAAAAAGAAAAAGAAAAAGAAAAAGAAAAGGTATAATGCGGCCTTCAAAAAAGTGCAACAATAATTGGAAACGCAATAACATTGGGATTCCAAGATGCTTTCTGTAAATTCCATGTTTTATTTAAGTACAAAAAGGAAAAGGAGTCCCAATTGGAATCCACGTTACCCACTTTTTGGTTTCTTTTATTTTGTTATATTTTCTTCACCGCCCGCCTGGGACCTCTCTCTTGGCCGGAGACTCATAAACCATTTGTTTTTGGCATCAAAATGTGTGCCACAGGGTGTGTGTGTGTGTGTGTGTGTGTGTGTGTGTGTGGAATATGGATGGACCCAAAAGCCGTGGGTTCTGTGGGTTGCAGACCCCAACGCCCTGAAAACAAGGACCTCCAGTCTCCATATTCTTAAAAGGACATCGACCCTTTTGAACTTGTTTTCCACAAAACCCCACAAAAGTAGCCGCATTTTCATGACTCTTTGTCTCTCCTCCTCGAACTCTCAGAACGTTTTTTTACTTTAATAAGTTTGTGCAGAACTTTTGTGACATCAAAGTGGCTGTAGTTTAGTGGTGAGAATTCCACGTTGTGGCCGTGGAGACCTGGGCTCGAATCCCAGCAGCCACACTTTTTTTTTTTTCCTTGTTTGAATTGGAATTGGGTTAGGAAAAGTCGAATTTGGGCTCATCATGGGCTCAATGCAGATTTTGAGTCTCGTGCCCCAATAATACTCTTTTTACTTGGGCCCAAACTAAGGTCATGTTCTTTTTCTTTTGAAATTTTCTCCTCTTTTGAATTGGGTTAGGAAAAGTCAAATTTGGGCTCCTAATGGGCCCAATGCAGGTTTTGAGTCGGCCCAATAATTGTCTCTTTACTTGGGCCCAAACTAAGGTCATGTTTTTTTTTTCTTCTCTTTTGAATAGAGTTAGGAAAAGTCGAATTTGGGCTCCTAATGGGATACATTGGGCCTTGGGCCCAATGCAGATTTTGAATATCTTGACCCAATAATAGCCTCTTTACTTGGGCCCAAACTAAGGTCAGAAGGGGATCAAGAAGTCTTTCCCTTTTGTTCTTTTTTTTTGGTTCAAAATTTCTCCTCTTTTGAATAGGGTTAGGAAAAGTCGAATTTGGGCTCCTCATGGAATACATTGGGCCGAGGGCCCAATGTAGAATTTGGGTCTCTTGGCCCAATATTAGTCTCTTTACTTGGTCCCAAACTAAGGTCATGTTCTTTTATTTTATTTTATTTTATTATTTTCTTCTTCTCTTTTGAATTGGGTTAGAAAAAGTCTAATTTGAGCTCCTCATGGGATACATTGGGCCGTGGGCCCAATGCAGATTTTGAGTTCTTGGACCGGCCCAATAATAGCCTTTTACTTGGGCCCAACTAAGGTCAACATGAACGTGGCGCCCGAGAACTTGATTATGACAAAATTACATTTAATAATTATTTGAATTAAAATCTATAAAAACTAAAAATATATTTTTATTACTTGGCGTGTATGTAAAAAGAAAACAAAATTAAAGTAGAATTTATTACAGTTATTGAGATGAATCTGAACTAATATAAAATAGTCTTAAAGTAAGATTCTATCATTTTTTGTTAATAGAAAGTTATTACCGGGCAATGCCCGCGTTGCTGGTGTAATGGCCTGATCATTTCCCGTAATCACAGGTTTTCGCGGATTCATCCCGTATTTCGAGCCGAGAAACCAAATGGAGCTATTCACTCGAAGGTTTCAGGTGTTTTTGTTTTCGTGTTCTTCATTATCATTTTTCGGAAGCAGTTTGGAGGCTTGAATTCAGCTGAACTCGAACATAACTACACATTCCATTTTCTCGCTATGGAGCTGGAACCGATCCGAATTCTTAAATGTAGTATTGAATATAAGTTTTAATTAGTATTGTCACAATTTGTTCCTCAAATTGGATATCTGTTTCAATTTATTCATCTTGCCTTTTTGAATCTTGCTCGTATGGTTCTCCTGGACATTTTGAACATGCTAGTGTTATTCGATTCTACATTCTCCCTGCCCTACACTAACTTGACGAATGCTTTAACTCAAGCCTTTGGTTTTATGGCAGCAATATTTTGAGTATTAGATTACACTATTCAGGCTAGTTAACTTTTTTTTTTCTTTCTTTTTCTAGTTGTGATGCTTCTACTGTAGAGCTTACTAAACTTATTTGCAGCCTGCAGGACATGTTCGAACGTTGAAAGAAAGATAAAAATATGAGTACAAGATATCATATTGGTGTTTATTCTTTACATTTACTACTATTCAGTGCATTAATTAGTAAGCTTGCATCATTCAGCTTATTTTGTCCCTTTTTCAAATGTTGAATTACACTTTCTCTCTTACAGAATTTTTTTTGTTTAGATGTTCTTTTACAGGCTGTTGAAATGAATGCAATTGCAGTGCCAAGCTCCAGTTGCTATGTTTTTGACAATTCTAGTCACATCATTGACTTTGTATCCTACTCAGAATGGTCTGTATTACTACTTGCAAGGACCTAGATTTGGTAACAAGAATGACCAAATGCACAGTTCATTAGGGAGATGGGAAAACAATTTGCATTTGTAAAACAATAAAATCTAGGTTGATCCTTTTATAACTTTCTTGATTGTGATGTTTGTTGGCTTCACTTTATCCCAAATGAATCTTTCTAGAGGTTCGTGATCAGTAATGGATTCATTTTAGGAAACCTTTTCCATGAAGTTTCTTGTGGCTTTAAGTGGATTTTTCTTGATATGGTTTTATTTATTAATGTTGGTGATCCAGTCAATATGTTAGCATCTTCATCTGTCATATTGAACTCTCTGTTTTTGTTCCTCTATGGGATCTGAAATCAACTTCCCTTTACATTTCTTTTTTCCTGTTCCTCAATTTTTCTTCTGGTGTTATTATGTTTTTAGCTTACTTAACTTGACAATTAGAGCAGGTGGATTGGACACCCATTTGAATATGAGGGAAAGGTGATGTTCTTTTTACTTAAACTAATGAAAAATTTTATTATATTTTTAAACTCCCTATAAATACATGAATTCAGGCAATATTGAGTCAAATATCACTTGATATAGGGTTCTGACTTGGTGGTTCAGTTTTGCAAAGATGTGGAAAGTAGATCACAAGTGGTAATGCATCTCTGTTAGATTACTTTACAATGACCTTTGATTTACTTTGAAGATATGTTTTGTCAGAGGGATGTTAGCAACCTCTTAGTGCCATATTTGATGAAGAAAGATTTACATACACATGCTGTTGGAGTTCCATCTGTAAATGGTTAAGGGTTAGAGAGTAGGAGTTCTGGAAAATGTATATATTTTCTTCGGCCTGAAGGAAGTTGCTTTCCATTTCATTTTGGGTTAACCATTTTCCGGGAACTGTCAAAATTGACTGAGAAGAATTGCATTGATTTCATTCATTCTTTTATAATTGCTGTAGTTAAAGAGTTGTGCCCTTCATTACATTGTTGCTAGTTCTCGCTCTGAAACAACTACTATAGTTTTATTATCCCTTGAATACATTTGATTCATATTTTCTTTTTCTAGTCATGCTTTCAACGGCTTGGTCAGTCTCATTGATATCTCTAGTGCATCTGTTCCTGATTAACCAGGGATATGTAGATTTTGGTCGATTTGATAAGTTCAACTACTTTGTCTCTGGTTCAGGACATGCCGACTTTGTTCAAGTAAGCTTAGTTTCTAATGTAAATGGATGTTCATCTTTAGTTTTTTTCTATTGCATGAGAACTAGTAATGAAGATAACTTAAAAGAGGAGTTTCAAAAAAATTCAAACTAATAGTTAAAATGTATAAAGATCAAATAAACATAATCTTGAAAGTTCATAAACCTATTATAATTTTTTTTTTTAATTTCTATCGACTAAATAGACATAATCTTGAAAGCTCACCAATTGAACTTACAATTTAACAATTTTCCCTTTAATAATGATGATAAGAATTAAATGAGTTTTAATTTATTGCAGGACCTCTGGGATACTCCTTATCTCCCTTTGTTTATAGGCCCCGTTTTATGAATGAATTTTTCTGTTTCTGATTGAAAAAGAAAACAAAAACTATTTCATTCTTTGCTTTTGTTGACATTATAACTTGTTGGCTCAGATGATGTGGAACTGACATCATAATCATTCCAATTTCCATCTGTTCAGGATTATTACAATGGCGACCTGACTTCTTGTGAGCATAGTTTATGACAAATTGGGGAGGACTGCGCAGGTTAGTTTTATATTGGACTCTCTCTCAATCCTTCAAACTTCTGTATTTGGGTTTATGGCTTCTTATGGACCATGGAATTCTAATTTCAGGTAAATGTTATGTGTGGAGGTTGTTTAAATGGACAATGTAAAGGTTAGTCAGCTTTTCGTCCCCAATCTTCCTTCTTTGGTATATCAACTCCTAACTTTTTCTGGAAACTATGTTAATACAATTTTGGCTGCCTAGAAGATATGCTCCTTGGGATCCATGACAATTTGAAAGAAATTTGTAATTGGAACAATTAATTAAAAACCACATAGATATGCATGCATGCTATACCAACTAAAAGATTGTTTGGATCCAATTTAGGCTAGAAGTTCTCTGGTTGAAACATGTCAATGCCACCCCCTATGGAAGTTACGACTAAAAAGAATTACAAACAATTTAAAGGAGTTGATAAAATGGTTTTTGAGTGTGTAGGTGATCTATTTCTCATTGTTCCACAGTTTCCTTCGGGTGTCCTTTTCTGATTATAATGTCTTCTTTGAAAACCTTTCAGCTCAAGGGGAAGACCTTACTTTCTTTCTTCTCCCTAAAAGAAACTTATTCCTAACTTTGCATCTTCACAACTAAATGTTTACATCGTAAACTAACACGGTGGATACCATATAATATTTTTTTTAACCTTTAATTTGTTGCAAGAATGAAGCCCTTAAACCCACCTTTTCTCATTCGTAAGAGTTAGCCATTGTTCCATCCAACCCTCCTCAAGATTTCTCATAAAATTAGGATCCATCAACCATCTCTCACCCTAGAAAATCCTTGAAATTAGGATCCATCTCCTTCGGGAAGAAAGGGCCCTGATTATGGCTTGTTGGCTTCTTTGCAGTTTTGCGGGGTCTTTGGGGAAAGAGAAACAACAAGATTTTTGAAGGAGTGGAGAATTCTTGGGAAGATGTTTGCTCTCTTATTAGATTTCATATCTCTCTTTGGTATCTATTTTTTTTTTTTTTTTTTTTTTTTTTTTTTTTTTTTTTTTTTTTTTTTTTTTTTTTTTTTTTTTTTTTTTTTTTTTTTTTTGTAATTACTCTTTAGGTCTCATCTTATCAGATTGAAGCCCCTTTTATTTTCGTTTGACCATTTCGTGGGCTGGTTTTTTGAATGCCCTTTGTATTCTTTCCTGTATCAATAAAAGCTTGACGTTCAAATATAAAAAAGAAAAAAAATGAAAGGCCATCTGGCCATGGCCAAAACCTATTGGCTGAAGCTTAATCATTGCCAACAATGAGCCCTCTGTCACTCATATTTACCTAACTTATTTTACTAGCAACTTTCATTTCTATATTCATTATCTTGCACGGTATAATTCTAGGACATTTTAGTTCTTTGAGCTGTGTTCCTATCTGCCTTTCCTGAGAACTGTTGCACATGTTTGATATTAGTGCTCTTTGAATATGTTGATACTAGTGATGAACACATTCATCATCTTATTATAGGTGGTCTGGGATGCATCTGCAATATCACTTATGAGACCAGTTGCAGGTCTTGAACGTAACTCCTTGATTTCTTTAAAAGTTACATTTTTAATTTACTGAATCTAAACATGTGTGCAATCCTTGAATGATGGTTTAAGGTTTTTCATGATGAATGGATTAAAGAAACTGGCTTATTTATTGAAGTTCATGGAACTCATTGCGAAAGAACACGAGTAGCTGAATGGAAACTTTCTTCTTCTTTTGAAGCATGGGTGCCAAATCTTGAAAACTATGCATAGTTGTGTCTTTCAAGTGCTTATTTGTTGTTGGCTGCGATAAATACTTCATTTTTACGAAAGCGAAGACAATATTTTAGAACATGAAAGTGAATAATTTTTTATCTGCAGTTCGTAATAGACAATTGAAGTCTAGCTTATGGCATTAGTAAGCATTCACTCTTTTTCTGATTTCCCCCGACAACAATTAGCCTCACTGCTACTACTGTATTATGTGGAAATGTAAATGGAAATCTCAGTCCACTGTTACAGGATTTAGAGAATCTATCTCCCACGAAGTATCCAAATTTGTACCCGTCACTTTGCTGCCTTCTCATTCTAATATTCTCTCCCTATTTCTTACAACTCCATAACTTGATTGGGCCCACTCTTATCCAACAATTCATTTTAAACCCTTATGCAGAAAAATACAGAAGCAGCACTCCCTCCTTTAATAATGCATTTTGTCCTGTACTGCATTCACACCACCTCCCCTGTGCGGTTCTTTGGATGCAAGGAACCTATCAACCTGATAGAGAAATTTCTCGATAATATTAAGTTACATGTTAGTTCTGTAGTGTTAACCACATCTCTAAACCTGGCATACACCATCTTTATCCTGCATAATCTGTCATGTTGTAGTGAGTGAAGCTTAGAAGCCAGTCGTGTTTTCATTAATATTTGTCATAACTTGAATGATTGGAAATTCTTATGGAATAAAAACAAAACAAAGTGTCAATGTTTACAAGTACAATCTGAAATTTAGAATGTTATTTAGGGATGCTTCGCAATGCTTGAGGATTTGAGATATTATTTCTTGAAAGGGGAAGTTCTCTTGGCGCAGAGAAAGTTACTCACTTACAATTGTTATCTGCCTCAGAGTTATTGTCGATCTTGCCATCCCTTGTGAGATACAAGGCCCACGTGTTTTCAAAGGGTTTACTGTTGGTTTTCACCCTCGATCTTGGGAAATTGTAAGAAACTGTTGTCATTTCAAGTTGGCTTAGAAAGAAAAGTTATTTGATTGAATTATTTAGAGGATGCACCTTGAATAATACCACAGGTTTATAATGGTTTGACTCAATTAGGCTATGAGAAGCCACACCGTGCATTCAGGTAAAAGTTCATCGCCTTGTATCCATCCATTATATTCTGTCTTTGATATTTGATAATGATAGAAGACCTATTTATCCAAGTTATTTAACGTTTATATCTTCAGCTTTAGCACAGAGCAGACTAGTGTGGTTCTTTATATGACTGCAATTGCATCACTTTCCTCTTTTGTACAGAAACCGATTATTCAGGTATTGAGTTCTCAGTTAGTTGAATAAGAGATTGAAATTGGTATTCTTTGTAGCTCATGCAATTTGATCAAACATTTTCAGGTTTTTCCAGGAAATGGACTGGAGGTGGAAGTATCGGGCTCAGGGGCAACTGGGAGCTACCCCACAACTTTGTCACCCTCGATTTTGATGATTGAATGGAGATGTATGGGATTTTTTTTTTTTTTTCTTTCTTTTTTTTACAATGGAATTCTCGATTAATTATATATGTTAACCCTCATGCTGTCATAAACCTGTAATTATCTCAGGTGACATTGCCAGGGACATTACATATGCTGTTAACGTCACAATCCCTGTGGCTGATTATGAACCAATTAGTTTTTTTCTTGCCAAAATGTGTGGTGAGAATCTCTCTCTCATGCAACATACCACCCATGCATTCCTTTAAATTGAAGTTGTCGTAGGAACTAAATTTAGGGTCATGCAGGAAATACATTAGTGTCTAACATGACTGTTCTTTTTTTAAAGGCGTGAAAGCTAAACCTAAGTCTACCTTTGAGTTTCATATTTTGCAGAAAAAAGGCAAGACGTACAAGGAGATTACATGCAAGGATGGGCCACATTTGGAATACTCTCTTGCATGTATGTCAAGTCTTTCTTCTTACTCTTCTGCATATACGCAAGTTTTAGTATCTAGATCTTCAGGTATTAAAACAGTTTGGGTGCTGTATAGTCTGGATAACTTTCTGCAAAGTAACTGGTCTCCTGGACTCCCTCTGCATGCTTTGGGGGGCTTATAAAATATTAAAATGATCTAGATGTGCCCATTTGTTGTGGCTTCATTTAAGTGGCATGTTCAGCTGCAACCTCTTGCTTTATTTGATCAACTTGAAAATAAGTCGTACGTTAACCTTTCAATAGCCTGTTTAAAATAATTTTTATAATTTTTTTTATGGTTTTGATGCCTTAAAAAATTTTGCATGAGCAGATTCATAGTCACAGCGTCGCTATTTTGCTGTGGAGGATTTGTTTACAAGACCCAAGTGCAAGGCCAGGTAAGCTACCTTTCAATGTCATTGCGGTTAGACATTTTTTTTCCTGTGAAATGTACCGTTATTGTTCGATACTTATGTCTGTAGCGTGGAATTGATGCATTGCCGGGCATGACATTACTATCCGCCTGCTTGGAAACTGTAAGTTTGCAGCCCCCTTTTTGATGTAAAGTTTAGTTATCTTATTTCTTTTTCTTTTCAATGCAAGCATTGTTTCAAGAAACCAAAAAGTTTCCTTAGGTGGTATCTTTTCCTGTTCGTTGGCAATTCTTAATTCACTATTACTGACTAGATCATGCATATACATCATCTCATCTTACGATTTTTTTCCCAGTATTGAAATGAATCCCCTGGGCCGATTTTATAGCTATTTTAGTTTTAGTTTTCAAGTATCTTTAAATTTTAGCTTACCAATGTATTTCCCTTTTATTTCAACGTCTTTAAAATGTAAGCCAAAATTTTAAAAAATATAAAAATAAAATAAAACTTGTTTTGTTTTCGGAATTTGGCTAAGAGTTAACATGTGTTTGTAAAAAAAACATATTTGAAACATACCGTAGAAATGAAGGGGAAGTAGCATAATTTTTAAATAAAAACAGAAGAGTTATCAAACCAGTTCTCGTAAGTTTTATTTCTTCTCATTGTTCATGTAGATTTAACAGAATATTGCGTAACCTTCGGTGTGAAACTAGCTTATACTGTTTTCAAGGCTTGTATTTTCTTGTCAGGTCTAGCAATCACTTGTTATAGTCTACCGACTCAGTTGTAAGTTTGTGACATGTTTGAATTTGTATCCATGAAATTAGGTGAGTGGTGCAGGACACAGCTACCCGAGAGCGGAAGGCTTCAACAATGCAATTGTCAGTGAAGCCTCCTGGGAGCGCCCATCATCCTCTTCCTCTTCTCGACCGACACGAATACCATCTGAGAAAAATTATGGTTCAATATGAACCTCTCTGTCTTTAGAGAGTTCACTAAAGGAATTCGGCTGTTTTCCATTGGATCAAGGACTATAGGCAGACGCAAAAGTGATTTAGGCAAAGCTTAGTTTTTGAAGCTATCAACCTATCAGACATTACTATCCATATTCTCATAAATTGAAGGATTGGATATTAATACAGAGGGTGAGTATTGTTTTTTCTTAGGCATTTGAACAAAATGTTGAGTTTTTCTAGAAGTATTAGGATTGTTGCCATTTATGGATAAAAACATTAATAATGAGATGAAATTTTACATTTTACCCATTAGGCTTGGCTTGGGAGAGTTGAAGCTCCTAGTATAGTTTCTAACTCTAAAATTAAGTTATTTTAGTTTTAAGATAAGATGTCAATTTGTGTCAATTCGAGCCCAATTCGAGCACAGTTCATATAAGGTAGTATTGAATTAAGTAGGTTTGAGGGGATTGATGAGATCAAATCTGCATGGGAGAAAGAATGCCCACAAACATTTTGTAGTGCTGATATCTTGGCTTTGTCTGCAAGAGATTCCACTGTCATTGTAAGTGCTGTATGCTTTGAATGGTGAAATGATTCTCAGTTTGTTGTGAAATTTACGTAATATATATTGAACATGACAGACGGGTGGACCCTCTTGGGAGGTTCCATTGGGAAGGAATGACTCAAGAACTGCGAGTTTGAGTAGCTCTAACAACAACATTCCAGCTCCAAACAGCACTTTTCAAACCCTTCTCAATAGGTTCCAAAACCAAGGATTTGACATCCTTGGCCTTGTTTCCTTATCTAGTAAGCTTTCTCGGCTCTTCCTATTTTAGTATTCATTCTCAACTCTTTCTTTTTTATTCGGCTCAAGTTTCACGGTCTCTGTTCTTTCCTTCACTTTTTTTTTTATCTATTTATTCAAACACGGTAAACTTGGTGATGTATCTCAAAGATATTAATGTCTAATTATATGTCTAAAGAGGCACAAAAAGAAGGTTTCATTGTTCTTATTACTGTCTTCATAATCTAAATTTCAGACTCTTTGTTGGAAAGAAAAAAAATCTCAAAACGACCAAGTGATATGAGATTAAAAACAATGCTTCGCTAGTGAGAATTGAGAATTTTTATCTATTTTTTATTATTAAAAAAAGATTTAATAGATAACTTTTTTCCATTTTTAATACCCATTTTACTAAATTTAATAATATTTCAAAAATAAAAATAGAATATAATATAATATTTTATTAATTTCTAAATCCTAAATTTAAATATTATCACATAATCTTACCCATTTAAATATATTTATTTATTTAATGTATACATTATAAATATATAATAAAATAGTCTTATTCCTTATATAATAAGCATGAATTATGTTTAAATTGACATACCATTAATAAGATATAAGTTAATTTTAATATTTTAATTTTATGAAAATGTTAGTTAAAATGTTGGCAACTTTTTGACATCGACACACTTTTTTTTTTTTAATTCATGAAAGTACTAACTTCATTCAACTACTAAAAATTGAAGTTTTTTGTGGTAGTTTAAATTTTTATTTTTTATTATCGAGATTATTATATCATAATTAATTAGGTTCTACTTAGCTCAAATAGAAGGTTAATTCTTGAATCAATGAATATTTAAATGAATTATTAGTTGAATATTTATATTAAATAAAAAAAATGAGTTGGTAATTCAATATTACAAATTAAAACTTTAAATGGGTGGTTGTACCGGATTGGATGGGCCGTTCCTTGCAGAGACGGCCCAATAATGGTGGGCCTACCTGATTTGAAAGCCCAACTAAAAGCCCACCCAGGGAATTTACCATCTGCTTCGCTCTCGACGGTAGGGTTTAGGCTTCTTCACAGAATCTGAACGACGGCCAACAATCTATGTTCCACCTCCAAACTTACTGACTATGAACTCTCAGAGCTCATTGTCTCACTGAACTTGCCAACGGAACAACATTCACGATTTACCATACATTTAAGAGATGAGACATTTGCGAAGTATTTCCTCTCATTTATCGAGGGTTCGCAGAACTTTCGCTCAAAACTCTGCCTCGGATTCTCCGTCTACTTGCAATTTAAATCTTCTAGGGTTGGAAAGATTGACATCGTCTTCATTGCTGAACCACCGGAATTACACTATTGCTTCACCGGAATCAAAACCAGCCCCTTCAGAGAGAGTTACGGCCATTGTGGATGAGATCTCCGGTCTCACGCTACTTGAGGTTGCAGACCTTACGGAGGTTCTTCGAGAAAAGTTGGATGTGAAGGATATGCCGGTAATGGCGGTGATGATGCCGGGGATGGGGTTCGGCGGCTTGCAAAACACTGGCAAGGGTGGTTCTGGGGCGAAAGGGGGTGAAGAGAAGAAGGCGGAGAAGACGGCGTTTGATGTGAAGCTTGAAGCTTTTGATGCTGCGTCGAAGATCAAGGTCATTAAGGAAGTGCGAACGTTTACGAATTTGGGATTGAAGGAAGCGAAGGATTTGGTAGAGAAGGCGCCAACGCTTCTAAAGAAGGGGGTGACGAAAGAGGAAGCTGATACGATTATTGCCAAGATGAAGGAGGTTGGCGCCAAAGTTTCAATGGAGTGAGGTAATGTAATCCTACTGTTTGTAAGTGTATTTTAGAACGAGTTACATGTTTCAAACTGTATGCCATGTGTATAGACCATGTTAGCCTATCTTAGCAATTGAGCATTCATCATAGCCATTGGGTATGTTTTGGGGTCGCAGTCAGGGTTTGGATTCATGGATACGAATCTTGATAATCTTTAATTTTAGTTCCTATCTGTGGTAGCTTAGCAGAAGAATTTGATCCTAACTCCTGAGGACCTAATCTAGCTTGAGAGTTACAAGTATGTTAATGAGTTCTATAGAATATAATATACTATGCCTCCGGTTCTCCGAACTTGATGAAAGGCCCTTGATTGAATTTGATTTGGGACACAAAACTAAGCAGTTGAGGGGAGGTGATTATCCAGTTGTGTAAGCTAGCCTGTAGCTACCAAATGGCCCGAGTGTCTGCTCTTTTTATCTTTCTGGATAAGAAACGCAATTTCTTAATCAATGAAGCAATAAGCATGCAAATGTGCCTATATTTAAGGCAGGAAATCACAAGAAGTATGCGATGATTTGGAAAATGGGTTCTATAGTTTTTTCTGACATACTTGCTGTACTTTTAACTCTCCCTGAGCTGGAGAAATTCTAGGACTTTGAGGTACGGAAGTGTGTGCAGTTTGGAAGTGATCAGATTTATCCAGTCATGCAAGTGTAACCTAACCTGGAGCTACACAATTGTGATGTCCCACATTAGTTGGGGAGAAGAACAAATCACCATTTATAAAGGTATGGAAACCTTACCTTAGCAGACGCGTTTTAAGCCTTGAGGGGAAGCCCGAAAGGGAAAGCCCAAAGAGGATAATATCTGCTAACAGTAGATTTGGGCCGTTACAACAATAGCCTGAGGATGTGCGTTTTCTTAAGGAACCAAAAAATAGATAAGAAACTTCAAGAGTTGATAATAGGTAGATAATGATGGTCCTTAAAATGCAATTCTTTGTTGAAATCTTAATTTGCTGTTGTTTGTTCATTTCATCTTCTTATGAAGATTTATGGTTATGGTGCCTATATGGTCCAATAAGTTTTTCAATATTTTTTTGGAGCAGAACAAATGTTAGTTGAGATGAAATAAAGCTCATACAAAGTAACGTTAACAAAAACCTTATTTCTATAATTTATATTCTAAAATATAAGTAATGTTAACAAAAAAACCTTATCTAATAGTCATTGTAACATGAGGCAATGTGTTGATCTATTTTTTCCCTTCATAGTTTCATAAATGCCACAAAAGCTTTAGAACACGATAGTATGTGTAACAACTCAAGCCCACTGCTAGTAGATTGTCCACTTTAGTCCATTACATAGCGCTGTTAGCCTCATGGTTTTAAAATGCGTATGCTAGGTAGTTGTTTCCATATCCTTATAAGAAATGCTTTGTTCCCCTCTTCAACCGATCTAGAATCTCGCAATCCACCTCCCTCAAGAGCCAGCGTCCTCACTGGCACGATAGTATGTTACCTCTCAAAAACCTTATTTAATAGTCGTCGTAACTTTGAGCATGTAGAGTGCCTATTGCCAATTCATGCTGCAGCATTACACAGTTTCAAGCTGCATGGCCTATTGTATCTGTTACTCTGCATGCATTATTTCTTATGATTTTTAGCATGGCTACTTCATTCATCATCGTTCTTATTATAATGTGTGCAAGTCGCTTGATTTTATAAATTCCTCTGCAAATATCAACAGTTCAATTCAATAACATTTGGTAGAATCATGGTATCAGTAGTAGTTGGCATTACTATTTTGTAATTTCGTTTGTTTCTTTCACCATCAGGATACTGCGGAAAATACAAAGCTTTTATGGCACTTTTCAAGTCAGAACAGCAGTTGAGGATATATACCATTGAGTCTTGATAATTCATTTGGCCTGGGATGAGGACATGGGATTGTTTGGTTTCCTTCAAAACATATGGAGCCTTCCTTATTAGAACTTTCCAACCTGGAATTGTATGGGTGGATGATAGAGAGACATTTCTTGGTACTTGCCTTTTGTATTCATAGCGTCCAAATAACTTAAAACACCGTCCCTTCAAGAACAGAGTTCTCTACGATGAGTTATTTTTGTATTCTAAGACACCATCCTCTTAATGCAACTTTGTAAGCTCAAACATTGGTGATGAAGAAGAAGCCCATGTATCACCATGGCTAAACTTCTGATTCGATCGACCATTTGAGAAGTAGGTGCGGGCGGGAAATTATTGATATGGTTGAAGGAAGGATTGAACCATTAAGAATCGTAATAAAAACCAATTTTATCTGAAATAAAATAGTATTCATAAGAATTATCTTTTTCAGGTATGCCTCCTATTTTCAAAGAGTTTTTGTAACTTAGACTTGGTTTTTTAAATTACATGTAAAATGTTTGTATTTGGTGTGGAAATTATATTTATAAGTTTAATTTTGAGGATTTTTTTTTAAATACAAATAATTAATAATTAATAATTGGTAAGAATCGAAAGAGATGAATAATTTATGTTATAGATTTCGATCCACATTTTCCTGAACTTTTGTAGACTCACATTTTTAATCTGTCTGAATTACTCATCGTAAAGCTCCGAGCTCTGCTTTTGTCCGTCGAAACGCCGCCGAAATTTCATGCTTTGAATCATTCGTTTCTGATTATTTCTCAACGTCGATGAACTGAAAAGAAACAACACAAGTGTAGTGTCTGTAATCGCGTCGTTGCCATACATGTGGCAGTGGGAGAATGCCACCGCCGGTGCCGTCCGCCGCCGTGCATCCTCTAGATGTCGTCCGCCGCCGTGCATCCTCTAGATGTCGTCCGCACCCGGTTTCAAGGTAGCTTACTTATGTAACCGCTCAAAGTTTGCTTGCGTGTCACCAAAAAATCTGGAGTTTCAAGTCTTTGTACCCCTAACATTTGTTTTTGCTCCTTTGCCCTCGAAATGGCAGGTTGTGATCGCGGAGGATCCAGTCTCCCGACTTACAAGAGCACAGTTAATGCAATCTTCACTATTGGTCGGATGGAGGTTTGTAGATTCAGTGTTTGCTACTCCTAATTCCGATCATTTGCTGGCTTTTTCTGCTATTTCCCCACGAATTTTGTGATCTGGGCTATACTAATTTGGTTCTTCTGTAAAAGAAATGGTAAGCTTTGTGAAAGTGCCATGAAATTTGCTTGCTTAACCTTTTAGATGAAACTTTGTTCGAATATTGCTCGCAACTCACATTTTCAGGATGAATTCTTCCTCGCATAGACCAAATTCTTCTGCCATTTGTCTTAGTCTAAGACCCTAAATCCGAACCATAAACTGCATCCGATTTTAGTATCCTTATGTGTGTCTAATCTTATCCATATCGTAATTAAATGATTCGTGCTAATGCTTGAGTCCATTTTTGTGCTTTTCAGACTGCCCATCATCTGTTGCATTTGACCCGTCCCACATGTGACTTGTGAATATTCAGTTTGCATAAAGTACATGTTGGAAAACACAGCCTTGTCTCTTAGAATAAATTACAGGTCATGTTTGATAAATATTTTGTTTTGTTTGTTGTTTTTTAAAAATTAAGCATACAAATACTACTTTTGTTCATGTGTTTCTTTGTTTTGCTACCTATGTTTTTGTCAAAATCTTCTAAATTTTGAAAACTAAAGAAGTCTTGTTTTAAGAAAGTTCAAGGATACAAACTCCCAAAGGGAGTGTAGAGAACCAGCAACCAAACCAATAAGTAAAAGATTCCCAAAGGATACATACTCCCAAAGGGAGTGAAGAGAACTAGCAATCGAACCAATAAGTCAAAGATTCCCAAAGGATACATACTCTTAAAGGGAGTGAAGAAAACCAGCAACCAAACCAATTCCCAAAGGATAGATACTCTCAAAGAGAGTGAAGAGAACCAGCAACCAAACCAATAAATAAAAGATTTCCAAAAAATACATACTCCCAAAGGGAGTGAAGAGAACCAGTAACTGAACCAATAAGTAAAAGATTCCCAAAGGATACATACTCCCGAAGGGAGTGAAGAGAACCAGCAACCAAACCAATAAGGAAAAGATTCTCAAAGGATACAATAGCCAAAATAAAACATCAAGGAATGAAGTGCCCAGGTGACAAACAAACAAGCAAACAAACAAAATTGTTCTAAAAGCAAGGCTGCTTAACTGAAGAGCCATTGAAGCTAGAACCATATACAAACCAGCTCCTAAACGGCTAAACCACTGTTCATAGGACAAAACTCAGCGAGAAAGCCTTGCAGACTCCAGGAAGAAAGGCTACTCCAACTCCCTTTCAAGTCCACGAGGAACATTGAAAGCAAACCCCTTCTCAGACAAAGGACCTGCTGCAAGCTTTAAAAATTTACAAAGGTCATCAATAATATCTGAAGAATCTTTTGGAGCTTCTGAAGTGTTGAGATCAGCATTAGTAATAGAGTTAATTCCCTTGATGAAGGATATAAAAGCCCTTCATCGCTTGAATCTTTGGAAAAGTCATGCAGATTCCTTTCAAAATTAGAATCAATGCTAATAACTCTACCAACTGGATCATTACTAAAATCCAAACTATCCTCCTCTAAAGCACCTTTGATATCCTCAAATGAGAAAAGGGAAAAAAAGTACCAAGGGAAAGGGATCGGTCCCCTTCGAGAATTATTAAAAAAACTCAATAAATTTTGTAATATCCTCAAACGAGCTCAAATCTCTAATACTAGAGGGAGGGGCAACCGACTTTGAACCATCCTTGAGGCCTCTTCAGCTAAAGACGAGGGAAAGGCTATTAGTTTGCAACTGTTGTAGTGAACTTGTGATATAATTATCCTACTTGTGATTTAAGTACATAACTGAAGTCTGTCCAAGCGATTGACTAATTTATTAACATTTTCTTTGTTGGCTGAACATTTCATCTAGTCTTTCAAACTCCATTAAATGTTTTCCCCGTTTTATGGTAGCTATGGCAGAGCCAAACAAATATATTCAGACAATGAAAAGAACTTGAGTCCCAGGCTTCATCTTGTTTCTGCAGCAGAAGCAGGAGCTTTGGTGAGTCCAACATGAAGCTCTGCAATACCTTCCTGGACCTTTTATGCTTTTTACGTCAAACAATTCCATTATTGCACTTTTGACTTACTAGAAAAGTGCTTCTCTATCCTCATTTTATTAGAGTTTTTAGTTTTTATTATGTTAACAATTGTGGTTCTACTGCCTCTTCAGGTTTGTTTTTTGCACAAATCCAGTTTGGCTTGTGAAAACAAGAATGCAGCTTCAGAATCCTCTTCATCAAGCGCAACCTTATTCTGGGCTATATGGTCTGCCCTTCTATCTTAATATGCTCTCTGGGATATATCTTATCCTAGTAAATTACAAGGTCTTGTGATTTGTATTCAAGTTAAGCTTCAGTATTTCATATTTTCCCCCTTCTCTCCCACTGTGTCGTGATAATGTTTAATGGCTTATAATGATGATGATGTGATGATTTTTACTTCGAAAACTGTGACGGTTGTTTTAAGTTAAGCTTCAGTTGTTTTATCTAGTCTACCTTGATTTTTTAGACTTGTCAAAGAATGAAAGCTTTTCAAAGAAACAATTCATCAAAAAGAGAGAATAAATAAGGGAAACAACAAGATCCAAACCCATTCATAAACCGAAGGATTTTGCTAAAAATTCTCCTCTTGGTTTTGTTTAGAAAGGAGTAATCACAAAAAAAAAAAAAAAAAAAAAAAAAAAAAAAAAAAAAAAAAAAAAAAAAAAAAAAAAAAAAAAAAAAAAAAAAAAAAAAAAAAAGAGAAGAGAAGAAAAAAAGATTGTTCCTGGCCTTTTCCTTGTAAGCTGTTTGGATTTAGGTTATGTTTTCTCTTAACAGTGTGATTATTTTGCTTCTCCAGAGTAATCTTATTATATTACTTAGTTTTTGTAACCCATTGGTTTTGTGAGGATATCTCATCTCCCCCTTTTTTTTTTGCAATTTTGGCTCCGTTAATAGCATCATACGTTTCCTATCTATCCATCTATTTATCAGTACATATATGCATATTGGTTAAACTTTCGTGGCTTCCATTCATATCATTGTACTCTAATTTTCATTTTATCAAATATGGGCTCTTGGGATCAGTTTTTTTTTGTTCTTTTCTTCCTTTATTCCTTTTTTTCCTTCCTATTTCTTGTGGGGTTGTAAAAATGTTGTTGAGGGTTTTTATGGAATGGGAGAGTGTTTGTACATTTGTCATAAAAAGGCATTCTGTTGACAGAATTTCATGGAATTAGTTCATAGATGTGTTTGGTTGCTTCAGCAGGTTTCTCATGGTGCATTTACAGTTTATGAAGAACTCCGTACATTTATTGCCAACTCGAGGTCTGATGGACCAAAGTGAATTCTCAAAGTTCTGGGGAATTACTGGTACAAGTTTCTGGCTTGAGTTTACCAACACCACTATATTGAGTTCTAGGAGAAGTGGAAATGTGAGATCCCACGTCTATTGGAGAGGGGAACGAATCATTCCTTTAAGGGTGTGGAAACCTCTCCCTAGTGGACACATTTTAAAACCTTGAGGGGAAGCTCAAAAGGGAAAACCTAAAGAGAATAATATCTGCTAGCGGTGGCCTTGGGTTGTTGCAAATGGTATCAGAGCTAGATACCGAATGGTGTGCCGCGAGGAGCTGGACCCTCAAGGGGGGTGGATTGTGAGATCCCACATTGGTTGAAGAGGGGAACGAAGCACATTCCTTATAAGAGTGTGGAAACCTCTTCCTAGTGGACGCGTTTTAAAACCTTGAGAGATAGCTCGAAAGGGAAAGCCCAAAAAGGATAATATCTTCTAGCGGTGACCTTGTGCTGTTACAGGAAATATTTATTTGATCTAGCCTATAGCGTATAACCTTTTCAGATGCTTGTCCTCCATATAGCTAATCATACAATAGTATATTCGAGTATATCTTAGCCTCTTCCATTCACCTAGGGTATATTCTTGCAATGATCATAAATTATAAGCAACATTCAGATGACATAAAAACCATTGCCTTTTAAGAACCTTACTCCATTAGTTCTAGTCTTCGCCACATGAAATATAAACTCTTACTGTGGGTTTTTTTCATGCAGAATTCAGTTGATTATGCTGTTCTTGGAGGATCTTCTAAAATTGCTGCCATGCTTCTTACATACCCATTTCAAGTAAATAGAAATTTGACTTATGGTATGAACTATGGTGTTGTTTTTATAGTCATTTATCTTAGCTGACTCTTGAGTGACTTGGTTCTCAAAAGAATGTCCCTGCGGCTTTGATCACGTTCATTGTCTATGAAAACGTCTTAAACTTCCTCAAACTGACAAGACAAAGGGAATAAAATTTGTTGTTCCAACTATATTGCTATTTCTTCATTGCAGAAGCTGGTATTTGTATTCCAATAATTGAGTATTTGATCCATTGCTTTCCTCTTTCTTCATGTTAATGAAAATCTCTCTGCTTTTGAGATTACAGGAGGTGAAGCACAGAGACTATGTACAAAGACATTTATAGAGGAAAAAGTCCACGGAAGTCTTGCTGAGCTCTCTCCTGTTGGATGAAATGGTGGCCTCTAATATAATAACTTCAAGGGCGGGTACGAGGCTCTTGAGTACATCTCCTTCCACATATTCTTTGGTTCTCGCTGATTCGAATCCAATTTCTTTATTGTCAGGACCCCAATTTTTTATCCCGGCCATGGTTCCAGAAGCTCCCAGTTCCTGTTACCATAATAGAACGAACAAGCTTCATTATTATCATGTTTTAAATGCAAACGAAAAAAGAAAATCTGGTTCACATTGGGATCACCTTTGTACTTTGTTGGAAAATAACCAGACAAATAGAAATGTAAATCCTTGTTCGTTATTGCTTACATGTCCAATTTGGAGCTCCTTCTCGTTGTCTATGGTGACAGCTTCATTGGTATCTCTAGGTGATCAATCAATGATCACAATACCAGCGAAGGCTGAGATGGATTCTTCCTTTGTTACTGTCGTTCAATCGAACTAGCAATTGTTTTCTCTGCTCTTCCTGGTTCCTTTACAAACAAGTCATAGTATTCAGTTCTTCAGAAAAGCAATGCAGAAAACAAAATGTTTGTGCTGACATGAAACTGAACCACATGACAACGATATCCAATTATTTTCTGATAGATTCAGCAGATTTAGTTTGTGAAGATCTTGGAAATCAAGGAAGAGCAAGATAAGGCCATCGACCTTATGAGGTCTGAACAAGCTCGTATGTCACCCAGCAATTGCTTCTCAATCAATCTATTCCCACAATGAATGCCTAATTCCTGAACAGTTCCAAAGTACTATTACAGCATAAGTCTTTACACCATGTTAGGGGAAAAGAAGAACGGTGTGAGAATGGGGGCTTGGTGGCGATTTCAAATCGCCTTAGCCTCTCAAATCATGGGCAATCACATGGTGCCGTGGCTCGCCAGACAGGATATCTGGGGGCACCAACTATTCCAATTTCAGGTAAGTGGTGTCTCTGCCAAGTACAACCTTACTCCATTGTTTTAGATCCTCTGGTGGTTACTTCGTCACCCATAGTTCCTAAAGCTTCCCAGAATTCTGAGTCACAATGGCAGGGTACTTTTGATTCCATCTGTTGACTTTGTGATTGATACTTTCTTGATATTAAATGACAAGCATAAGAACTCCCAGGTGACCTGAGGATGACCCGAGGGTGACCTGAGGATGACCTGAGGATGACCCGAGGGAATTCACATTTCTACCCAACCAAAAGTTTCTAGCTGTATGCCCTTTTCATTTTTTGCTAATCCAAAATGAGAACAGAAAATTCTCATCTTCTCTTATCTTTATGTCGGCCCCAGTTTTCAATCACTTGATTAAAGGATCAAAGAGAAGTTCTTTCCATAAAAAGGAATCCAATGAAATGTCTATTCCACAAAAAGAATGGGTCCTTAGAGTTTCAAATGCATGTGAACATTGGATTCTACGTTGATATTTTATAAACCAATGTCATTTAGCTAATTAAATAAAGGGTGTGGAAAAGAGTGGATGGTCCAAAACACTTCATGAGTGACATTTAGAATTTTTGTAACAGCTGCAGTTGTCCATGTTAGTACTATGATTATGTTGACTTTTTCATATTATATGTTCCAATCCTTTACCTTTCCCTCTTTAAAGCTAAACAAGCTTCTCTTAGAGAAGAATTATAGAGGCATGTTTATAGAAGGTTCTGTTAGCTTTCATGATTATGGCTCCTACCCTCTAATTATCATATTCCAATCAATTTCATCCAACAAACACCATATTACTTTTGTGTCTGGAACATGATTTATGAAGATTTACAGCTAATGCCTAGCCTATCAACAGTGAATATCATAACCTGTTGGATGATCCTACTGCAGATGGATGGACTCTTTTGTCACTGTAATTAGCAGCACAGCAAACACAGAGATGAAGGGTGGGAAGAAAGTGACAAACCACAGTTAAGAAAAAGGACTCACAAGGTGTTTGATGAAATGCCTCAATGAAGAACGGCAAACACGATGAGAAGTACATGGCCCCACAGGCTAGATCCATCACTCACTTCGAGTCGCAGAACAGAGATTGAAGACTGTGAAACAGTGGGTGTTAAAGTACTGAAGCATGATGAAGACAAGACGAATTATAGGAAGTGATGAAAAGAAAAGGGAAAAAGGGGAAGAAAAAGGAGAGATCCGGAGAGAGGTGAGGGGCTGACATTTCCGGCGCCCCCCCCTACGGCCCAGTGGGCTTCGTTCACGTGCTAAGCTTCTGCACATGCCATTTCTAAGGTGGGTGGGTGGGTCATCGTTCAATCTAAAAATGGTGAATTACAGACCCATTGTGGCCCGACCCATGTGATCATCTGATCCATCATTCCCCCTCTTCTTCTTCTTCTTCTTCTTCTTCTTCTTCACTTAACTTTATCTGTTCAAACAGTTCCATTTCTTGTCTGTTTTCCTCGTTTTGTTCCATTCCTTTCATACTTTTCTTTCATCATCTCTCAAATCCAAACTTTCCCAAACTACCAAAACATTGTCAATCAAAATCTTGGGTCGGCTGATGAGTTTCAAACAACCCCACTTCCATTTTCTTCGCAAGTTCGGATTTTTATATTGAGATAACGCAAAGAAACTCCTTTTCTTGCTAACCCACCACACCCACGTTTTTTTCCACTTCTTTATGTGTTCAAATCCGCATCCCTCGGATCCATTTGCTACTTGTTTATTCAAAACGTAACGCTCCCAGATCACCAATGTAAACAAATGGGAAAAAGCTTTGTTAGTTAGAACCTCATTAGTCAAATCCAAAACTTCTCCATACAATAATCGTGTGTAAGCCTTAGCGTTTAGCGTTTGCAAATTTTTGGGCAATCTCTTCTCGGGTTGACCACGACCCGTTCAAAGATAGTGACTGAACTAAGAGTGGTTTTGAGAACAGAATTTAAAATCCGAAGTAGAACGTTGGAGTTGATTGATGATAAATTCGAACGTAGCTGAGTGAAATGGAGAAGGGTATTATAATATATAAGATATTGGGAAGGACAAGTGTAGTGAGGTAAAAAAGGGATTAGAATAAGAGAGATCCGGGCAACATCTAGCTAATGGAATGAAGACAAAAATGGAGAAGCGTGGCAATATTGGGCAATCCAATATGGTCACACTCACACACACACAAACACCTCATTCATTGATTGTTATAAGCCCTAGATCTTCCCAATCTCAACCCCAAAAAGATTTCCATTCCACTTCTCTCTCTCTCTCTCTCTCTCTCTCTCTCTCTCTCTCTCTCTCTCTCTCTCCTTCAAATCTCTCCCAATCTCTCTCTGTGGAGAGACATAAAACGGTACACTGTTGATGGCTGCATGAAGTGATTGATAGCGGAGTAAAAGTGTTGCCTTGGTTGACTCAAAAAAAAGGAAAAAAGTTGCAGCCTTTGTTTGTAGGTAGGGTTTTGCAGATTATTCAGAGAGAGAGAGAAAAGAAGTGAAAGGTAAAGTAAAGAAAAGAAATGGAATGGGTTTTGGGATTTTGGGTTTGGTTCCTCAGCGTTGTTGCGTTAGCTTGCCTTTTGTTCAAGAACCACCACCACAACAACAACAACAACAAGATTCATATTCAAAACAAGCCTGGAATTCCCAAAGGCAGCCTCGGTTGGCCCTTCCTCGGCGAAACCCTCGCCTTCATTGCGTCTGGCTACTCCTCCCGTCCTGTCACCTTCATGAACAATCGCAAATCTCTGTAAGTTCATACTTTTCTTCTTCGTTCTTCCCCATCAAACATTCATCATCTTACAAAAAAATTCTCCTTTTTTTATAAAAAAAACACGAAAGTACACAAAACCCACCATCAAAATGATGAGTTCCACTATGATTCATTTAGTTCATTATTGATTCATACTTTTACCTAACAAATTTCACCATCTTTATTGTTTATTCTTTTATATCGATGCTGTGATGATTAAGCCGAGCTAGCAATTAGTTGGGTTGGGTTGTGTTGCGATGGGTTTCTCTTTAATTATTTCCTTTTTTGTAAGCGCGGGAGAACGATGATCATGATGAGTATTTGATTATTTAAAGAGTTTACACGAACAGCCTCACACATGCAATACAAAAACACCAGATTCTCAAAAGGGTCAGAATTAAAAGCCTCAAAAACACAAAAACTCCATGATTTTCAACCAATTTTCATCTGGGTAATCTTTGGTTTGCGATTTTGATCCACAAAAAGTACCAAAAATTCAAGCTTTTTACTTCCATCCCATTCCCTTTCCAAAAATGTCCAAACTTGGCTTCAAAGATTTGGATTTGAAAAGGGGTTTAAGGATTTTTGGTGCAGGTACGGCAGCGTGTTTAAAACCAACATTTTGGGGACACCCATCATAGTGTCCACTGATTCAGACGTGAACAAGGTGGTCTTACAGAACCATGGCAACACCTTTGTTCCAGCTTACCCCAAATCAATCACTGAATTACTTGGTTCTTTTTCAATCCTTCAAATGAATGGCAATTTTCAAAAAAGAATTCATTCCATCATTGGAGCTTTCTTGAAGTCCCCCGGCCTCAAAGCCCGAATCACTACAGATATTCAAAACACTGTTAAACTAAGGCTTTCCAATTGGAATACCTCCAAATTGGTTTATGTCCAAACTGAAACCAAACAGGTTATTATTGTTATTTTTATTGTTATTACTATTATTATTTTGATGGGTCATGCATAAAAAGTAATGGGTTTTTATAAAAATGGTTTCTTTTTTGTTATTTTGCAGATCACATTTGAAGTATTGGTGAAGGTGTTGATGAGTGTGGGACCCGGTGAAGATTTGAAGATTTTGAAAAGGGAATTCGAAGAGTTTATCAAAGCCTTGATTTGTATACCTGTTAAACTACCTGGAACCAGGCTATATAAATCCTTGAAGGTCGGTCGGTCGGCTGGTCGGTCAGCTCAGTAATTTACCCTTCAATTAATGAATATTGTAACTATTAATGATTTTATTAAAACCCTTTTTCATTAATTAATTAACTTGATTTTACGGCGGTTCTCCAGGCGAGAGAGAAGCTGTTGAAAATAGTGAGTAAAATTGTGGAAGAGAGAAGATCGACGGCGGCGGAGGAGGAGAAGGCTTCACCGAGAGACGCGGTGGACGTTCTCTTACAGGATAACGATGTGGTCCAAGGGCTGCCGTTGGATTTCATCAGTAGTCACATCATTGAGTTGATGATCCCCGGCGAGGAGACGGTGCCGATGGCGATGACTCTCGCCGTCAAATTTCTTAGTGACTGTCCGGTCGCTCTAGCTCAAATGATGGTACGTCAATTTTCCTTTTTTTTAGTCTTCTTAGATCCAACGGCTAGGATTCAACCATGATATGCGACGGTGGGTCCGGGCCTAAATACTTCCGTTTCATGTTGGCTCCAAAATGATACTTATTTTTAGGAACCTTAATTTTTTTTTTAGTTACAATACAACTCTAAACTTTAAATTATTAAATTTATATTAATTAAAATTTAAAGTTAGGGTAGTTTTGACTTTTCAAAAGGGTTGTTATGAGAGAGTATAGGGGATATTATAATCCGTAGGAGCAAATTATAGGTGGGAGAAGTGAGACGCACGTGTGAGTAGAGAGAGACAGAGAAAATGAGGTGAGTGGGCCACGTGGGAGGCGTGGAGGTTTCGTGGCCGTACGATAGTGAGATTGAGAGGTTGTCAGATAAAAGGACCACCAATTAACTCCTTGCCTGGGCCTCTTGGAGACCACTACCTGTCAAATTGTCTTCCCCTCTATTTATCTCTTTTTCATAATTTTTTAAATTTTTTATAAAATTTAGAGACTAAGTTGTTTTTTTTTTTTTTTTTTGTAATTTTTAAAAAATTTAGGGATATATATGATATAATAATTAAATTTCTTCTAAATTCCTCCATAGAGTGTAATAAATACATGTTTGTCCCTAATTTTAATTAAATGCTGAGATTCATGTGCAATTATAATTGTTAATTGGGACCCATATCTTTATTAAGCGTAATAAATAAGTGTTTTTCTTTTTTAAAAGTTTTAATTAATAATATTTGTTAATTAAATGAAGGGGTTTACTGTTTGATTAATTAGGAGGAGAATATGGAGCTGAAGAAGCAGAAGGATGATTCTGGGGAGGAGTATACGTGGACAGATTACATGTCTCTGTTATTTACTCAAAATGTAAGTATTAACACTGAAAAAAGTTGCCTTTTTTTTGGTTCTTGTTCTTGGGGGTGATGATTTTGTTGCTTTTAGGTGATTAGTGAAACCTTAAGAATGGCTAAT